CAACTATTGGTGCCGTATTTTGTAAACGTGATTAATTTATGAACTGTGGGTATCGTAAGGCGGAATCTGGATTTTATCATGATACCACCTGAACCGCATTAAACGAATGCACTTTCGGCACGCGTATGCACTGCCGGTAATAGAATTGAAGAAAAATCTCGAAACCCATAACTTTCCGCTACCATGTCGAGACCTTTCGGTATTACGTGATCATCGAACGATGCCCACGAACGCGAATTACAGGAATTGCACAATCGAAGCCTCTCCTTGCGAAGAGGCACTTTGCAGCGAGCTCGCAGCAATTTGCGGCAACTCGCTCCGTGCCCGTGCATGGCGTATTTTCCACCACAAACAGCCGGCCAATTATGCCTCTACGAGGCCTTTTCCAAAATCGAGGTTAAAAGAGTTTGAAAAAAGAAAAGTTCCCGGAAATTCACGGTTGAACCTTTGCGAACGGGACTTCGTTAACCGTTCGTTGGGAGCTAATGGTTTCCCTCTATAAAAAGAAATCATTCGAATAATATCGGTGCATATTACCTGTTAATTAAACGCAACTTCCGCATCGGTAAAGCGCGGAATCAGTGGAGGAAACTTTCGCCAGCATTCGAGCCGACTCGATGGGTCGAAGTTCTACATTCGTGGCGCCTCAATGACGGCATTAAGGTGAAGTGAAACACGTCGAGGAACTTGATCGACGTCGATAAAGAAGATTTTTCTAAATACCTACGTTGCCGACGTTCATTTTTATATTGACAGCTGAAGCGAATTATATTGGGTATTATACCAAGTGGTATACTCCACCTGTCGTTTTCGTACAATAATTATAAAGAAATCGAAATAAAACTCCAGAAATCCTCTGGATTCATGCTTTCTGGGGCTCTAATTGACTGCAGAGGGACCCCCTGCGCCATCTGTGATTTCCAGGTCAATTTAATGTCCACCCCAAGACATCGTATATCCATCGTTTTAGCATAGAAGCGCATAAGACACTTTTTTTGCCTTTATCCCGTTCAAATGCGAGTTTATCGATTACCAGAGTGTTCTAAATTGTCGTAAAATTGTCCTGACCCTTTCGATTCTCATATCAGAGCCTACGATAATTGTATATTGATCGAAATATGAGAGCTCGACGCCTTTTTGGTTCTGGTCTGGGATGAGTTAAAAAATTGTGTTGAAAAGTCCTAATTTTGAATGTGTCAAGACAATTCTTAGATGATCACGAGTCATGTGTCAAAGTTTCGGAAAGTTTGGTCCAATACCCTCAAAAAAAAAAGTGTATTCGAATCGACTGATTTGAGGGGGGTTTCCCTTCACCTTAATGGTCCTTGACGCATAAACGTCCCCAGGAACACAATCGTTGTACACGTTTATGTCCAAGACGTTCCGGGTGAGCAAAGTGCCCGGCAGTCGCTCGTCTTCTACTAATCCACGGTGTAAATAATTTACCTCGTTATTTATGAAGAAGCATCCCGTAGGCGTCAGTTTAACACCCAGGAGGGAAATCCTCGAACTCGTTTACGAGAATTATCGCTACCGTTATCCCGGCAATGGGCTTCCGGTTGTACGATTTAGCCGTACGTTCGACATACCGTCGATAGCTATCGATACCTAACGTTGTACGGTTAACGAGGAAAAACGCAGGAAAAGGCTCGGCAACTGGGAATGAAAACGAGATTCTTTCCGGCAAAAACTGTTTACAACTTCACGGTTAACAGTTCGCAGCTCCTTTGAATTTTCCCTGGATTGGTGAACGAGCTAAAAAATGGCACGATACGGTAGCCTGAATTTCTGGGCAAGTCAACGGAGTCGGTCAAAAGTCCGCTTCGTTCCAGTAAATTGATTGATGCGGATCAATGTCATGATTAGCGGAAGCCTAGTAACATGGGTAAATAAAGTCCCTTTGATTTTGAATGAATTGATCTTGGATCTAGTCGCAGTTTTGTGGAGTACAGACACAGCTGAACATGATTAAAAATATTTGCAAATCTCACAGAATTTAAATGTATCAAATTGCGTTCAAATGACAAATTTGATGCCTTGACTTAAATACTTGTGAATGTATGAACAAATTTCAAATCTTATGACAATTTATGGGAGATTTTTTAAACCAGCTTGTAAAATTATATATTAAATACATCTACTAGAGTATTTTACATTTACTGTATCGTATCTAAATGAAACTTTCGGTACATGTTTCTTAAATGTATTGCAGTTCTTTTAACGGTGCACCTTACAGCATCAAATTCCGCACCTATGGACCGCATACTTCCCGACTTGCTATAGTGGGCAGTTCCGAGGTGCAATGATAGATTTCCTTGTCCTTTGAAGTGAATTTCCAAAGGTTCGCGTCATCCAAGGAAAAGGACGTCGATCAATGGACAATGTGGTACCACCTCGTTATTACAACCCGCGAGAGTCTCATGACCTTTTCCACTAGACTTGCAATTGCATTGCTGACAATGCGATGCAACTCGACAGAAATGGATTGACGGTAATGCTGTAGCCACGAGGGCGATGACGTCTTATATACCCCCTGCATCAATAATTTCCTGGTCAATGTCACTTTTTATAACAAATACGTTTAAAATTAAAAAGATGTATAGAAATTCGATCCGGTATAACGCGATTATTCGGTAGCTGTATTCCTCCGGCATTCATCCTGCTCGACCCCCTGGAACCTGCCTCTGCCTCGTCGATATATGCAAATATGTAAGAAAAAAAGAAGGAATTAACTGACCACTCCGAAATGTCCGGAAATAAATCCAGTCTTACGACCGGCCGTAGGTTTCGCCTATTTTGAGCAAGTATCTCGCATCACAAGTTACGACGTCTCTCCGTCGTCCATGTAAATCCCAAATTGAATACCGCGGCGAGCCATGATTCATATTAAATCCCGATTTATTCCCAGGATTACGGATTCGCCGGTCCAATTTTTCCACAGATTAGGACACCGCGAAGCGAACTGTTTTTATTTTCACCTCTTTAAAATGAAATTTACTGGCAGATATTTTAACGCGGTAAATTGCCCGACCGTCACAACAGATCCAATAAGTCCCCACAAAGACGAACGGACTTCCAAGATCCCGTTTTTCAATGGACCGCTTTGTGCAGGATTTTGCAATCCACCCGGGATGCAAAATTCTCTATTTTCATTCCTCCACTATGGGCAAGCAAATATTAATATCGTCAAAAAGAAATTCTTCTCTGTTGACATCGTATCGTGTCGGCAAGGAGTTATCCCTCTCGGCAGCAAAATCGGATTGGCGAACTCAGCCGATTGCAAATAACAGGCCCATTATCAGTGGTGCAGATAAATCTTCTCCTGAAGATTCGTAGTTCTACTCCTAGACGGAAATCTCCATCTAAATTACGCCTCGCGTATGGTCGAGCTCGTTGGACGGGGCTCGTCGCATAATTAAATCGCGCAATCAACCTCCCGTTGCTCTTGCACCTCTTGAGCGATGCACCCGTTTGTGCATGCACGTATGCACACCGCCGTCAACCGCAGACGAGAGTTTAGCGAGCATCGCTCGATTAATTTATAATGGACTATCTGATTCTCGGACTGGTTAATCACTCGTGCGGTATCACTGTTTATCGCTGCATACGATTCCGATAGGACGTTTCTGCACAGATCACGCTCTATTCGTTTCCAATAAAATTTCCACGGTCATATTACAATACATATTAACTAAACTCGGAATGCATTTAATTTTCCGAAGCGCATAGCTTTCAATTTAATAGAAAAGCACAGTGAAAAATAGATAATTATTGGGTTGTCGGAAAAGTCATGACACATTTTCGTAACAGATGCCATACAAAAATGCGTCATCACTTTTCCGACAACCCAATAGTAACAAAAAAAAAATAAAGAAATTCTCAACGAAAAATTCCACACAAATGTGGCCGATTTTTCATAATCTTTTTCATTGCAGGTTATCCTGTGAGATATTAATGGTAAAATATGTAAATTTTTTTAATCCCCTGCTTTCCTCTGAATTAATAAATCTATTTGAATCCCCGTCTTTAAAAGGTCGTCTGAGGGATGCGTTATCAAATTGATTGTATCTTCGTGATTGAGTCATAAGGCTGCAGAGCCACTGCAATTAGGAACATGCGTACACCAAGGTACAACATCGTGCGTTACCGAAACCTCGTTCGCGCAGAGCACGGATTTACAAAGTATCCCTCGAAGGGCGGACTCGGAGGACTCGATAATCATTGTAATTGCCTATCTAATTTCCAAACTGGTTAAGCATCCTGTTATACATTACTATCTATCACCATGTCCGCCGTTGATAGGCTGCCTCCACCTATATATAATAGGTACGATTAATTTATACCCAACAACGCCACGACGTCCCGGGGTACATCCAGGAGCAGAGCGATCCCGGGACAAAAACTCGGACAATCCGGTCCAGTGATAACTCGGATGCAATTAACTCGTGATTATCCCCGGCGTTCGTAATGGCGACACGCCCTGCGATAATTCCCCGGTTATCGCGCGGCTATTATCGTAATAACAATATTTCTATTTGCCCTGGACATCGTTTCTGGCTATCACGAAGCGTGCCCTGCACTACCGGCACCAATATCGTTAAAGTGATAAGCCGAGTCCTCGCCATCCTGCAGCCCCTCTACTTATGGTATGACGCTACAGTAGTCGTCCTCATGACAAGACGGGAGATGACGCATGATAAGACGCGGAGATTTTATACGCATAAATTACACGGAGGTATGCGTGCAACGATGCGCTCGTTTGCATAGTTCTACATTTGTACCGTCATCCCCTAATTATTCGGAAATTGTTCGAGAAGAGAAGAGAAAAATGAATAAACCCGTAAAGGATATCTTAAAAAGTGTATAGCATCTCCTACTAGCAGTACTGGTCGTTAAGGAAAAATAAATCCTCGATAGTGCTATGATTAGAGTAAAGAGATGAAATGATAAAAAAAAATTGGTAAGAATTTTGTTTCTATTGTATTAAATATGGTACACACCTTTCTGTTTCTCCGGTTCATGCTCGACGATGTAGGCTGGCACTGCAGTGACAGTTTGGTAGTCGGTGTCCAGGGAAACCCTAGAGCCCTGGGACTGATCCTCGGATGATCCGGAGAGAAGAGGATGCATCAGGGGCGAGTCGCCGCAGCTTCTCCTGGCGTGCTTCGACCTCGACACCCTGAGCAGCCCGGAATTCTGTCCCGAGGGATGAACGTCGTTTCTCCTGCCGTTTGTAGCATCCCCGGGGGGTTCGTCCAGCGTCGAGGGGGACTGCAATGCCGTACCAACCTCGTCGGTACTATGGCGTCTCGCCTTTGACAGTCGCTTGAACATCGCTCCTCTGAAATGAAGAAATAAAGAAATTAACCAATTGCCACGTGGAACTGACTCATAAGGCGTTGGTCAATCGTCAGATCGCGATGAAAGGTGAGCCGTCCAGTTGAAACGTCAAAGCCCATATCCATTACACCATGATATGGAAATATAACCAAATGTAAGACTGAAATCAGGCAAAACGATGTCTTTTAAGAACTGGTTACCATTGATTTCACGTGATGAACATCAAAACACTTCAGTAGGGTGTAACATTCGGCATGAAAACTTCTAGAACAGTGTTTTGGCGATTTCTAACGATTTGCAGTGATTTCAAACATTCTGTTTGGAATTTCCTTCATATCGAATGATCTCTCACGGATTTCAAACGATCCCTGACGAGTTTTAGCTTCGAACAATTTCAAAGAGTTACAACAAAACATTTCAGTAGGGTGTGACATTCGGCAGGAAAACTTCTATAACAGTGTTTTGGCGATTTCTAACAATTGTCAGTGATTTTAAACATTCTGTTTGGAATTTCCTTCATACCAAATGATCTCTTACGAATTTCAAACGATCCCTAACGAGTTTTTGTTTAGAACAATTTCAAAGAGTTATATCAAAACATTTCAGTAGGGTGTGATATTCTGCATGAAAACTTCTGGAACAGTGTTTTGGCGATTTCTAACGATTTGCAGTGATTTCAAACATTCTGTTTGGAATTTCCTTCATATCGAATGATCTCTCACGGATTTCAAACGATTCCTGAAGAGTTTTAGCTTCGAACAATTTCTAAGAGTTAAACCAAAACATTTCAGTAGGGTGTGACATTCGGCATGAAAACTTCTATAACCGTGTTTTGGCGATTTCTAAGGTTTTGCAGTGATTTCAAACATTCTGTTTGGAATTTCCTTCATACCAAATGATCTCTTATGAATTTCAAACGATCCCTAACGAGTTTTAGCTTCGAACACTTTCAAAGAGTTACAACAAAACATTTTAGTAGGGTGTGACATTCGGCATGAAAACTTCTGTAACAGTGTTTCGGCGATTTCTAACGATTGTCAGTGATTTCAAACATTCTGTTTGGAATTTTCTTCGTACCAAATGATCTTTCAGGGATTTCAAATGATCTCTAACGAGTTTTAGCTTCCAACAATTTCAAAGAGTTACAACAAAACATTTCAGTAGGGTGTGACATTCGGCATGAAAACTTCTATAACAGTGTTTTGGCGATTTCTAACGATTTGCAGTGATTTCTGAAATTCCGCCTTCAATTTCCTTCGTACCAAATAATCTCTTACCGATATCAAATGATAACGAGTTTCATCGCTGTCACTAGTTTCTAATAATTTCGATTTGTTACATCGTGCAACAATGCTCTTAATGGTGTTCCAGCCGATTTCCGCGGTTTACAAAATCAAAACGCATAATTTCGTGAGCGAACGATCTCTCGTCGAGGTGTCTTAAGAACATTGACAAGAAAAACCGCTAGACTAAATTAATTCCTAGAAATTTCAGGAGCGAATCGGAGGCAAAAGGAGTGAACGGGTCGTTTTGCTCCTCGACGTGTAAGACGCGCTCGTTAATGCGTGTACGCCAGTCCGTGGAAAGTGAACCGAGCTCTGCAAGGTGTTCCCGCAGTTTATCGCGATTCTGCAAAACGCAAGATGTAAACAAATTAAATAAATCGAGAAAAAAGGATGGCCGAGAAGTAGCACATGACTGCCGTGGCCTAATGGATCGCATCGCTCGTATCGGGCTCCCTCGGTTTTCTACTTCGCGGTTCTCTCTTCGGCTTCGGCCAAGGTAAGTAGCACCAGGTGACGTTATAAGTAGAAAGTCAACGCTACCGATGCAGCCAATAATCGACGGTGCAGGGAGCACACTAACGACCGCACGCGCAATTAGCCCCTGCTAATTACTAATTGCATTTCCAGAAAGTAGGAAGCCTTAAGTAAGACCGAGGACTCTTACGATTGTGGGGAGAACGCGGGTTGGAGGACATCCTGGAAGGAAAAAATCGGGTCACGAGTATTTCCCTGAATTCCGCGAATGCGGGAGACTGTCCACAAAGAATCTCGCCGGATCTCGACTCGTCGCAGTCGTGTAACGACCAGTTGATTACAGTATTTTCAGGGAGCTGACCGTTGCATTACCTGGAACCAGGGTCGCTTTTTTAAGACCCACCACCAGACTCCACCAAACTTACGAAATCTTCACCTCTTCGCATTTATGCTCCTCTCGACCAGGACTCTTGATTATTCATTTTTAACAAAACGCGGGAAAAGAATTCAGCGGACCCTGAGGAGTACGTCAAATTCAGGAATTCACGGCTCCCACCTCGATTAATACGGATTTTAAGAAAGTGGACAATTAAGATGGAAACTCGTATATTACATTTTAATTGCGGGTCTTTTCGGTTCTTTCAAATCCACGACTTAGTCTCATTTCTAATGAGTTGTGAGTTTTTTAGGTCGAGTATCCTCCGTTGACATACGTTATCGTTTCTTTTTCTTTTCTTTTTGCAGAATAGAGGTCGACTTTGACCGTTAAACGGATTAAGGGGTTAAGAGGATATGAAAGGCGCTAAAAAATTTAATCGACGTCGGTAAAGTAAAATTCATCTGTACCGTTTTTAGTGATAATGCCATTTGAATACTCAAGTGGGAACATAAGCTGGCGCGTCCCATTGCCGACATTTATATTTATATTAAAGTCTTTTATGGTCTACGTTGAGAATTATACGAAGTGAAGGGTTCCATATGTCATTTCGGTAAAGCAATGATAAAAAAATCGATGTAAAACTGCCAAAATCTCATGAATTCGTGACTGTTTATATTTTGTCGAACCAACGTCGCCATCTGTGACGTTTAGCTGCAATTCAATTTTGGTCTAAAAACATGCATTAGCCGTAGGACAAGCCAACATCTTCTTGCAATCGTTGGTGAAAGTATTTACCACATTGTCCCATCTGACTCCGTAACATTCCATTTCTACGATATTCTAAATTGTTCGAGCTAGGTCCTGCAACTCTTCATTTTCGATTCTAAGCCTCCAAGAAACGTGAAACATCGAAAACGTGCACGAACCACGCCATGTTAGTTTCAATCCATGATGAATAAATAAATTTTGGATGAAAAATAAAATTTCATGAGTTTCAGGACCTACTATAGGGCCTCCATATTCCCGTGGTAAAATTTCAAACGAATCGGTACACCCAATTCGGAGAATACTTTCCCCAACGATTTGACTTTTCAAATATACATATATAGGCTGACTCTTTCATATTCTCTTAAGGAGGTGTCAACGACTAACTAGGAGATGAACCTCCCGGGTAGCGCTGTCATAATGACAGCCAGATTATTTTCGAGCGGCAAAGCTCCAGGGAGCAATTAACTTCTGCCGCGAAACGAAGGCCGTTCAGCCGCGATTTATTCCATTTCGTCAAGGTCTTGGATCCCGGCCCCACCGACGAAAGAGAAAGAGAAGGAGAGAGAAGGAGAGAGGCGGGAGGAAAGAGAGGGAGAGAAAGAGCACGTGCACGTAATAGGGTCTCTTTTCAATTTCTTTCCTGCCGCGCGACAGCTTATCCCAGCTTAATTAGTCGAGCTCACGAAACACTTTGGAACGAGCTCATATCTCATCTGAATACACCTTACATTCCAAATGGCTTCGAATCTTTTAAATGACATCATAAATGAGACAGCTAATTTACCAAAGGTAACAAATGTGTGCAACTTCGTAAATATTTAATATCACCTTGGAATGTAGGACTTGCTGGTACGTTGTAGGGCATTACGATGTACTCGTTAGTTCAGAAAAACAGTAGTTAACAGGATTAAATGATGGTTAAAGCTCCGATAGATTAACAGGAGGAATGGCAACAATTTGTCAATTTTATGCGGCTGCTAAGCCACACATATAATTCTAATTAATAATGAAAGTTCATTGCCTTGCCATTCAACTTTCTCTGAGATATGGGAATTTATTACCATAATTATATAATCTTATATTAACTCTCTTTCCCTAACAAATGTCTATTACTTTTGACAATGTGGCACCTAAGTTGCACGATACACATTCACCTGGTACGAAATTTGGAGAATTAGTTAGCGATAAAGTCCATTTGCGATTTTGAACGTTTGTCAAAGTAAACTCTTCGCAGGATCGAATCTTTCAAAATTAAGTTAGGGAAAAAGAGAGTAAAAATTAACATGGCGTTCGCTTTGGAAGGACGACTTCCAGAGACATCGATGTGTCCGGCTTCTGGAGTAGACCTTAGGCTCCTATTCCCCAAGGAATAAATCAAGGAAATCAGGGGAGATGATCTTGAGAGGAGATGACTGTTAGGGCCAGCTGTGCCGCTTTCACTTAGAATATAAGCTCCACTTAAATTTCATAATGGTCAATCAGAAGGCGAGAATAGAGTCTAAGCCCAAGGCTGAAGAGGAACTCCAATTGAAGCGAAAGATATGCAACTACCTCCAAATAGCGCATCTTTATTCGCGTAACGCAGCGGAGTTCCGGTCCCAGGAACGGAGTATCAAAGAAGTTACCTCTGTCGTATAATTCCCGGATCAAACTAACCCTTACTTAACTTACCTAATTATCAAACACAATTTTTAAGTCCCAACCACTGAGAATAAAGATTAATTGACCGAAAGAAATATATATATTGTTGCCTGAATCATATATAAATGCAAGAAACAATTATTTCGTTGAGAAGAAAAATGATATCGTTGATTTAAACAAATTTTGTTTACTCTTACTGACATTTCTTTGGACGTATTTGATCGCAGGATTTCATTCTAGCAATGCACGTTTCTTTGAGTCAAGCAACTTTTTTCTCAGTGTCCGAATCACCCTCTATTCGAATAAAAAAAAATTGTCGAAAATTCATTTTCCGAATGAAAATAGGGGTAAAGGAGTTACCATCAGAAGGATCAAAAAGAGCACGTTCCCAAAGGACCCCTTTTCCGAGAAAAGGATAACTGACAACACCCCATCGATCTGTACATAATCGTC